GAGTAGAGAGGCTTGGAGGAACACTGGGGAGATGGAATGACCCTCATTTGGAGACTGAGTGGACACAGTACTCGGAGAAGTTCCAAGATGCTCAGCCAGAGTGACTGTGGGAATATCCCAAGTGGCACAGAGAAGTCAATGAAGTGGCTGAGTAAGGAAGAGGCTCTTGTACAGGTTGACTGTGATAAGGCCAGATGGCTACACGGAGCAGGATGTCAGACAAGCTTTTGGACATACAGGTCCCAAAGGATGGGATATACTCCAAAGGGTGACATACATCCCCCTTAGGATGGGGGCCTAGCTAGAGGTGGGACTCAGTGGTCATTTGTTCAGAAAAGAAGGTCAAAATTTTGAGGCTGACTGAGGCACTGCAGGAGAATATAGCACAGCACCTGTCTCACAAGGGGGTCACTGAGCCAGTGTGAGGAGGTCTGGGTGGTCTGATACCTTGGCCTAATACAATTATTTGGAAAGCCAAATAGTTACATTCTCTTTTTATTTTTTGAGACAAGGTCCTGCTCTGTCACTCAAGCTGGAGTGCAGTGGCATGATCTTGGCTCAATGCAACATCCACCTCCTGGGTTCAAGCAATTCTCATGTCTCAGCCTCCCAAGTAGCTGGGATTATGGACACCCGACACCACACCCAGCTAATTTTTATATTTTTTTTCTTTTGTGGAGACAGGGTTTCACCATGTTGGCCAGGCCAGTCTCAAACTCCTGCCCTCAAGTGATTCGCCTGCCTCGGCTTCCCAAAGTGTTGGAATTACAGGCGTCAGCCACCACACCCAGCCACATTCTCTTTTAAAACTTCTCTAACATCTACTTCATGGAGTTCAATTCATGAATATTCTTGACTACAAGGTCCTAGAACCTAAAGTTGAGCTGCTCTGTGGCTGTTAAAGGTATTTTTACACCTACAGCACCTCAGCTCCTGGGATGGATGGGATCTCACAAACAAGTAGTCTTTAGACTATCCAGGCCCAACAAATGCAAAGTAGAATCCAAAGAGGACGGTCTACCTCCAGGGGATTAGTGGAAGGGTGACTGGCTCTTCATTGGCTGATGTGGACAGCCCCTATATTAGAATCTTAATTTCCACTTACACAGCACAGCTGACCCCTAGAAAGGAGACTGCTGGTCATTTTACATGGACCACATCACTGCAGAAGACTGGAGAGATATCCATACCTCAAGCAGAAAACCCAACACAGTCTTGACAATAGGCTGCAATACTCTTTAGTAGAAAACTGTGACTGCAAAGCTGGAAACAGTCAGTGCTTCTAGCCTACCACCTCTTCTCTTCTCAGAAACTTAGCATCTCTGACTTCTCATCTGGTGATGAACAACAACAACAACAAAAAACTAAACAGCCCAATTACATCATTAATTCTAGTTGTCCTGGAAAGTGAGACAGGAGTCAAGGAAGAAACACCTGTCCTTGAAGAGATGGGAAGGCAATGGAGCTTTAAGAAAAAATTCTTTGATGTAGGAATTGACAGTGTCACTTATAGAAGGAAAGTTTCAGCTGATTATCATTTTAAATTTCTCATTATGCCACAGATAGGTGGTAGGTGGATTAATTTGCTTCAGTGGCCAAGGTACCTGGAATATTTTACAGTAGAATATTTTAATGGCCAATATTAACTAATTTATCACTGCAAGTTTAGTGAGGAAATTGAAAAATGATCATATTACAGGTGTTAGACATATCTACAGATAAGATGGAATGCATGCCTTCCTATAAAAGGCATCCTGAATACCAGTCAATTTGCCATTGGCTTCCACTGTAAAATAGTTGTTAAGTTTCTCCGGCGGGGTGGAGGGGGGAAATTAAAAAAAAAAAAAATCACGTCAGTGGTTTCTTTGCCCTATAGGTTTGGCAAAATATGAGAAATCACATAAAAAGCTAGTTTCGTGGCTCACACCTGTAATCCCAGCATTTTGAGAAGCCATGGCGGGCAGGTCACAAGGTCAGGAGATCGAGACCATCCTGTCTCCACTAAAAATACAAAAAATTAGCAGGGCGTGGTGGCTGGTGCCTGTAGTCCCAGTTGCTTGGGAGGCTGAGGCAGGAGAATGGCGTGAACCCGGGAGGTGGAGCTTGCAGTGAGGCGAGATCGCGCCACTGCACTCCAGCCTGGACAACACAGCGAGACTCCATCTCAAAAAACAAACAAACAAAAAAACTAGTTTCAGAATCAGCTTTACTATTATTTGTGCAGCTTATTATTTTAAAGAACACCTGTGTAAGTATCTCGGCATCTCTCAGTATCTGGCAGACAGGTTGGTACTTGGTATATCAAGAGCCATGGGGCTTCTCTTGCCACTACAAAATAAGTAAAAGTTCAAACTCAAGGGGTAAAGGCCAAAAAAGGTGGTGACCTAGAAAGAGAAGCTGACATGCGTCCACATACCATGACTAGAAGCTTCTCCAAAGATGTGAGGTGGAGAGAGAAACCTTTGATGGTTTCAGATCAGAGCATCTCTCCATATGTCAACAAGGAATAGTCAACTGTAAATGTAATCATTAAAGAACAATCTAGACAGAGTGACGCAGTTGGAAAATCCACTGAAACAATGAAGAATAACAAATGGAAACCATAGGTTAGTGGAGAGTGAATTCTACAATAAGGAAAGTTAAAGGGTAAGACTCAAACCAATTCTGCCTGTCTGATTTGTGTTCGTTTTTCTACGTCCACCACAAAACTAGCTTCCTTGCTAATATTAATAATAATATTAAATATTAATATTATGTGTTAATATTTAATATTTATTGCCATTATATGCCAAACACTCTTTAAAGCACTTTCCATGTATTAACTCCTTTCCTCACCAAAACAAACCTATGAGGCAAATATTATTATCCCCATTTACAGATGATAAAATGGTGGCACAGAGTGGTGAAATAAGTTGCCCAATACCACAAAACTAGTAAGAGGCAAGGCTTGAATTTGCATCCAAGCATTCTGACTCCCGGATCTATATTCTTAACCACTATGTTTTAATGTCTCTCAACAAAGAGAAAACAATGTCAAAGAGGTAGGATGGGCTCTTCCTTAACCTAACTGGAATAAACTCAGTCACCCAATTGCCATTGCACTGATTCTGTGTTCTTCAAGGAAAGTGTGCACCATAACCACTGCCCTCGCATCCACTCCCTGCCCCCAGCTGTGGGAAGGACATGGGATTGGAGGCAGACTGATCCATCAGTGTGGCCTCTGAAAAAGTCTATCTTTCATCCACAAAATAATGAGCTGATATTTTTGTTTATGGGGTAGCCTCCTGTGAGCTTGGATGTGTAAGTATTTCTAGGTCATCCATAAAATACATGATACAAATCCAGCTTCAGATCTGCACAGCTGAGGCTCAGATCCTAGTCTCCCGTGAAAAATGCCAAGGAAGAGCTGTGTCCCTTGAAATCCAACCAGAAATGGTCAAGCATCCTAATTAATGTCTCTGCTATACCGACTATCTAAGAGAATAAAAATCAACACCATTTCCTGAGCACTGATGACATATGAGCCAGGCACTGATGGGCTATCATGCCCTCTTCCTCATGCACACTGCTCCTGGAGAGGGGCAGGGACGCACCAACCACGGAGTGAAGGCTGGTGGTTCCCAAGTATCACAGACCAACACTGCTTCTGTGATAGAACTTTTGCTGACCTGTGGCTAAGTAGGAAAAATCTGGATAACACAGTACAAGTTTTTCCTGAAGCTACATGTGTACAGGATAAAGGACTAGCCTTCATTCTGAGATGTTATTCTTCCTACTTCTGATGCTGAAGTGCCTGTTCTTTCATGAAAGGACTGTAACATTACATGACAATTTCAACACTGCTGTTTTTAATATCCTTACTTCTCAAGATCAAAGCTAAACACTATGTTAAACCTCCTCCATTAGAAACAATTTTATTTTTAAAGGTTAAATCAAAAAATCCTAGTGTGGGGTCACTGGCCCAGGGGGTTGCTATCCTAGATTTTTCCTGACCTCAACCAGGGAGGGAGTTTCCCAAACAAAAAGAGAACCCTAACAGCCTGAATGTACTCTGTGCTGCTGCTGTCTTCCTTGATAAGCTCCCATCTGACCTCCAGTCACTCCCTCAGTCCCCAGTGGCTACTACCAGTAGGAATTCCCTGTCCTTCCTGGCCAAGCTGACATGCTGGGCAGAGTTCAGGACACAGCTTTAAATGTGGTTTCCTGATTAAAAGGGAGACTCCAGTTAGACAGGAAGGAGCTCAAGCTTGGGTATTATATGTCATAGTCATCTACCGGTTCTGAAGAATGAATACGTCAACTGAAATGACTTGGAGCAAAACATAATTCCTGAGAAAATCCCTGACAGCCCAGCCAGAGACGCTTACCATTGTACTCCTTCGTTTGTGTCTTCTTTTTGGCAATAAAGCGACACGCTGAAGACTCAGTTACTCTAAAATACTTTTATACTGAACGGTATTTGCAAGGGCAAACGGTGGTTGGAAGAAATGAACACTAGGAAGCACCAGATGCAACATCTGTAAGACTCCCTGGCTAAGACAGAGGGTAGTAAGAGGAGAACCACACAGTGGGAGGGGGAAGATGTGGTGGCTGACTCGGTCCTGCCACTCCATTGCCTTAGAATCCTAGGGGACATCATTTTCAGGTCTTCTGCTTCCTCGCCTACAAAATAAGATGGCTGGTCATGCAAAAATCCTAAAATTCTGGTCCAATTATTGCCTTGAGAGAATCACAGGCTACTTTCATGTGTCAAGAAGGATGGTGAAAAATAATATTAAGAGAGGCCAGGTGCGGTGGCTCACGTGTATAATCCCACAACTTCGGGAGGTTGAGGTGGGTGGATCACTTGAGGTCAGGAGTTCAAGACCCGCCTGGCCAACATCGTGAAATCCTGTCTTTACTAAAAATACAAAAATTAGCTGGGCATCAGGACGCATGCCTATAATCCCAGCTACTCAGGAAGCTGAGTCAGAAGAATTGCTTGAACCCGGGAGGTGGAGGTTGCAGTGAGCAGAGATCATCACGCCACTGCACTCCACCCTGGGTGATAGGGCGAGACTCTGCCTCAAAATAATAATAATAATAATAATAATAATAATAATAATAATACTATTAAGAGGAAGTCTTGAGAGCAAAGTTGAAAGTTCCTCAGAGGCCTCAAGGCCTTGCCTAGACATGAGTGAAAAACAGCTGAGCCCTGGAAACATCTCCAGGGGGGTTCTCTGCAGGGTGAGCTTCCTAACAGAGTGCGGAAATGAAGAATTGGGCCTACACTGCTGAGAGCAAGGAAGAGAAGGTAAGAGGGAAAGAAGGAAACAGGAGAGAAAGAAATGTAGAAAAAGCAAAGGCCAAAAATAAATGGGATCTGACAAGCAGCAGGGAGCATGTGAGAGGGCATGAATGAAGACAGGGCTACGTAAGGTTCATAGCAGACGGCTGGAGAGGCGGGGAGGAAAGAGAAGGCTCACAGAGGGAATGAGCAGACGAACAGAGAAAGAGCAAAAATGGAAGAAGAAAAGAGAATCAAGATTCTCATTTCAAATAGAAACAGGATTACTTAACTCTCCCAATATCCATTCACCAAAACAGTTACCAAATGCGAGGTCTCGTGGCATCCTGCCAGCTGTGTCTCCATGAAGAGTCCGAGATAAAGTAGAGAAAACCCACACTCTTTAAGAGAACAATGGAGTACCATTTTCTGCTGTGTGAACACAGATGCAACCCATCTGCACGCAGATACGAAAGGAAAAAAACTGCACAAAGGGTCCGTAACCTTTAAAAAAAAATGATTCTGGGCTAGGCTATCCAGAAATAGAACATTTTGATTACAAAATAAAAACTAGGTCAATAAGATAATGGACATGATTTAAATGAAAATCACAGTATTTGTAATGGGCTAAAAATGGTATCAATGTTACTGCAGAGAAGGAATATAATTAAATGTATTTTTAAACAGCAGCTCCCCGCCCCAGTCCTACAAGTCCCAGGCCAGCCACCAGTATTCCTCCATCTCATCGGAGAGGAATGTGCTGGCATGCCGCAAGTTGGTCTGAAGAATGTGGAGTTTCCGTACTACTTCAGAAGATCCCAAATGACACTGGTTAGCTACATTCTTTCACTTTTAGATCACTGTTATTCATTTATAAAGCAAAGGAATGGAAAGGTTAGGGATTTGACCATATAAATCTCTTTTTACCATTTTTACTATATGGCCAGGAAACACACAAATGCAGATATAACTGCCATGATTCCCAGGCTATTGAAACAAAAGATTTTGGGAGAATTCTAGATGGTTATGTGGGGTGGAATGTAGACAGATCCTAAAAGGCTTTAAGTACAGGCTAGGAATTAAGATAAAGGGTAGAAGTGCAAGGTTCTGGTGTGCTTTCTACAGCCTGTGGTCTGATCTGGAGAAACCTAACTCTTGAGTATAATTCACTTCTAAATCCTCCCTTGGAAAAGAGGAGCAAAAAGGAGCAAGATAAATTACGCCTAAAGGATACGGTTCCGGATGCTTTACAATTACCAAAGTAGGTACAAGAAAGTTGCCATAGCATTTCCTCAAATGTCTATATAAGAGTCATAGCCAAGGAGTCTATGAACCATCAATGGCCCTTCCAAATTTGGGATGCCTTTGGGGGCAAATGGAAATAGTGAGACATTATCTACGATGAGTATATCACTACTTTGGCTCATATATATTATTCCTTTATTAGAGGAAATTGCATTGACATTTATACCCCAAAAATCTCAAATAAAATATGCACATGATTACATATAAATATTAATCATTCAAAAGAGATTATTCTAAAAATCTCTTGTGGATAATGTGTATTTACTAGTAAGTTCTTGAAATGAATTAACTCTTTAATATGTTTAAATTCCAACATATGACCCATTAGTTGCAAAGCATTCATTCATCCATAGAAAGTATAAGTTTACCTCCCATGAAGCAAATCTGTTAAACGACAACAGAACTTGTCAAACAAAAGAGAAGCAGGAGACTTACTCACTGTATGAAATCACTAATGTCATGCTGAACTCCCTAAGTGCAATTAAGTGTGTTTGTGTAATATCATTAAGTTAGTGCCCACATCACCTCCTCTTTACTTGGTGCATTACAATAAAAGGTATTTCAATAAACAGCAAGTTGATAGACACCATAACCATGGGTTCCTTCTGTGACTTAAGGAGCACCAAACCCCTGGAATTCTGAGTGAAGTAAAAAAAGTCACTACAATAGGTCTTGAGGAATTCTAAACCAAGAAAAAGGCCAAAGGGTTCAGGATCATCTGAGCTCCTCCTAACATTTTCAGACCATGCTTATGTACAGTTCCTCACTATCACCAGGGTATCTAAACTATGAAGTGAAAATAGTGAAGAAATGTGTGGCAAGGGTCACTGCAGACTGGGGAACCTCTGCGAATATCTAGAAAGCGAGGTGCTCAGTTTTCTGAAGAAAAGCATTCAGTTGATATATATTTTTAAAACTCTGACCTTCCACGACCTGAGTTTGGAGACCTCGGTAGGGATGAAAGAAAATAACTAAAAGGTCAAGCAAGTAAAGAACACTGAAAGAATGCTCAGTGCAAGCATACAACGCGGGGCACGCCTCTGTTCCGTGAGTCTGGTGGGAAAAAATAGATTATTTATAGGGAAAGGGAAACAAGATGACAGAATAAGCTCTTGACAAAGAGGAGAAAAGCTTATGTTGGGAACATCTGGGTGGGAGGGAAAGGCATTGGAGTCATTTGCACTGTCACGGGATGGAACTGGTCTAGCAGTGACTTTGGCATATTTTGGCTTCTCAGCAGGGAAGAACCAGTTGGGGGCTGGGGAAACCAGTGTTTTTTGGAGAAAGAGAAACAGCTGTTTAAGCACGAGTGTCGGAAGGAAGTCCTGTTCCCTACTGCCAACCCACGAGGCATGACCACAGTCCAGTCACAGGAGCTGCTATAACAAGACGACAAGGAGGCAAGACTGAGCCACTACTGATTAATGCCTGTTGATCTTCAACAATGGGCGATTCCGACAAATGCAAGAAAGGAAAAATCACTAGCCAATAACATGGGGATCCTCTCCTATAAACAGCAAGGAATCCCATGGAAGGAATTCTAATTTTATCCATTTAAGCAACTATTGGTTACTCATGCAGGTTCAGAAACAGAGGGGACTATGAGTTGATAAATAATGTAAAGGTTTATCAACTATATGTAAATCCTCTATCTCAAGTCTTTTATCAGAATTGCTAACAAGTTGTGAGTCTGATTTAATTTCTTTCATTCACTTCCTTTCTGTTGACTTTGGCAGGTAAGGATCAGTGAATTAGAGGAGGTAAGTGGAATTCAAGACAATACTCTCTGGAATATGTATTCCCTTAGAGTTCTTCAAAAGCCCTTATCTTGCCCTAGTGGTATATCATAAGTCAGTAACAATAACAGAAAATCTTGTTTTTTTAAAACTAAACATTCCAATGCCTAAAAGTCTAAACAGACTAAGAACAAATGCCAAATAAACCAAGATGTGCCATTTTAATGGGAAAAATATGAAATATGACATGTAAATAGAAATCCCACATTTATAAAAGCAGGCAAATGATAATGTGTGACAAATACTTACAGGCAAATGAGAAAAAGTAGAAAAAGTTCCTCCTTCTAAAATAATCTTTTTACAGCATACAATTCTCTTAAATTCTGACACTTATGCCTGCTTGAAAAAACAATTTCAGTCAACACTTCCCACTCTGTTATTCAACCCCAAGGCATGCAATTTTTCTTAAATGGTCCCAAAATACGTTCATGCACAAGAAGCAGGCATCAATTGACTTGCAACATGACAAAGTCATCCTACAGCTTGACTTCTACCCAGTTGCTATGTCATCAGGTACTAAACCTCAAATTCTCTGTGGCCCACTCCTTCTCTCCTTCTCCTTCCTTTGAGGACTATCACAAAGCCTCTAAGTGCGGGATTCTTTCCAGTGATCACCACCTCACACTATGCACATCCCTTCGAAAGACAGCTTTGCAGCTTCAACGACAGTATACGCAGAATGGCGTGTTCCTCTCCTGGGTCAACTCCTCCATTCCACAACAGGATCCTGCAACTTCCCACTCCCTAAAATCTCTGTCTCACTCTTGAATACTTTTGTCATTTAGCTTCTCTTTCTCTTCTGGCTCCTTCCTTCCTTTAAAAACCTTAAGTCACAACTCACCAAATCATGAGACAACTCCAGGATCACATGCTCAAATCTTACTTGACAGCCTCACTAGGCCATCTAAAGGGCATGTCTAGCTTATGTCCAAAACTTGATCTTGTTTGGAAACCTGATACTCATTCAGTGTTCCCATCTCAATCAATGATACCACTCAAATGGCTCAGGACAAAACTTTGGAATCATCCTCAATTCCCCTCTTTCTCTCACACCACACATCTCATTCAACAACAAATTCAGGCGACTCTGCTTTCACAATTTATCCAGAATCCAACCACTTGTCTCCACAGCTGCCACTGCTATCCTGTCTGAGCCACCACCTCTCCCACCTGGCATACTGAAACAACCTAAATGAACTCCCACCTCCTCTCTTACTCTTTCATTACTCTCTGTGCCGCATTCAGAGGGGTCATTTTCAAAGGTCTATGAAGCTCTTTCATTCTCCTTCTCAATTTTTCCAAAGGCTTCCCATCACATCTAGAACATAACCCAAAGTTTTACATGACCCACACAGTTCCTAGAAGCCCCAGAGCCTACAAGGTCATCTCCAACTTCATTTCCTACCACACTCTGCCTTGTTCAATCCATTCCAGTCACACTGACTTTCTTACTATTTTTCAAACACACAACTGTGAATATCATTGGTGCACATGAATTAAATACTACCTCTCTGCAAACATTAAATTGATCCATCTACCAACCTGCTTCTCTGATACAGCCTCAGGATACACATTCTGTCTACAAGGTGTCTCAAGCTAGATGTTCCTATGCCAGCACAAATCAGACAATGCAAAAAGGAGCTGCTCCCCCATCACGAGGCTGGAAGCCTTGAAGTAGCTGCCAACCTTCACTGTACTTCAACCCACAATAAGTTGGCTGCCAAATCCTCCCGTGTTCCCCAGCGCGAAGTCTCAATTTGCCCTTTCCTCTTCCTTCCTCTATTCAGAGTCCTGTGCTTGTCCTGGTCATCTCCTCACTGAAACCCCACACCTCTTCCAGTTGCCCTTAGTTTCCTCCTACGGCTATAACAAGTATCCTTCCAGAAGTCTCACAAAAGATTCTGTCTATATCCGTGTTCAGGTGCCAGGGAGTCAGCCTCCATTCCCCTCCCACTTAATCCTCCTATTGTCTTCTACTGTCTACATGTGGTTACTGCAATTAATTAAAAATCCAGTTCCTCAGCTGCACTAAGCATATTTTGAGTGCTCAAGGGCCGCAAGTGGCTGGTGGTCACCCTACTGAACAGTGCAGCTGCAGGGCATTCCACTTTAATGCATTTATCCCCCATACATTTATCAACTCAACATTTTATACATTTATCAACCCAACACTTTTATCAACAGTGCAGCTGTAGGACACAGGAAGTTCTATTGGATAGTACAGAACCTATCCCCTCTGGCAAACCTATTCAAGTCCCACAACAAAATCTTTGAGAATAGATCCCATACCCAATCAGCCCTTTGAACCTGATTTTTTACTAAGACCTCATGTTTCAATTTTAAGGAAGTCCTAAAATGTTCCTCCCTGAGATCCGTCCAATTTTAAAGGAAAGGTATATTACACACCCATCTCCCTATCCCTCATAAACATGACTTCCCTTTCATAAAACTTCTCTTCTATGCAGAGTAAATATTTACATATTAATATTCAATGTATACCTTTTCCAATTCTACTCAGCTGTTATGCGTGAGTACATAGTAAATGTGCTCAACATGTTGACTATTTTAGACAGAATGGTTTTGGGGGCAGAATCAATATTGAATGGTGCCAAGCACAGAAAGCTCTTTAAAAAGTGTGTTTTCATAAGAGTGATGACATAGTGGGGAAGCAGTTAGGCTTTGGAGTTGCCCAGGTCTAGAACTGTTCTGCCACTTACTAGCCAGGGACCTTGGACAAGTTATTTAATTCCTCATCATCCTCAGTTTAAGTATTGGTAAAAGAGAAAATGGTAACTGTCCTCCTTATAGAGAAGTGACAATCAAACGTGATCACACCTGCAAATCATAATGACCACTCATTAATATTAGTTGATGATAATAATCATTTAAAATCATTATAAACAAGATAAACTTAAATAATACTTGTGGAAGTTAAAAGCAAGATGAAAAGATATCCCAAATGTAAGTACTTGTCTTACAGAATCAAATGAATGTCTTCAGATACAATGTAACAGATATTACTTAAATATCAAACCTTGGAAAATAGGTTTCAAAGTAACATAGATTTGAACATTTCCATTCTGTTTCTTGTATAAAAGCTGCATTGAGTTTCCAGTCCTTTGGAAAATTTGTCTCAGGGATAGTGGAACCTTGCTTGGCAGGTTGAATAAGTTTCCATTAGTTAAATGCAAGCAGGATGATTTCATTTTAAAAGTGAAATGTGAAAGTGGTTAAACAGGCAGGATACAACTAATCATACTAGTCTTTTTAAAAATTTGAAAAACAAAACAAGAAGATGTCTAATTCAAAGCACATGTGGGCATTATTTTGCATTAGTGCTTAAAGGCCCATTCTCCCAGTGGACTGATAAAATAGGCACAAACAGTCCATGCATTTGGAGCATGAGATCTTTCTCCCTACCTTCAATAGCTGAAATTCAGAGGTGGCTACACGGACTCAAAAGCCAAAGCCAGTACTTAATTTTGCCTAACTGGCCATGCATTTTTCTCTTGCTATGGCTTCTAAATGGGCCAGTGGTTCTTAATGTGTGCACCCTGGATCAATAGCAGCAGTATCTACCTGGGAACTTGCAAATGCTTGGGCCTCCCAATCTACTGCATCAGAAACTCGGAGGGTGGGGCCCACCAATGTGTTTGAACAATACCTACAGATGTTCTGGTGCCAGAGCATGGGAAGTACACCTGGGCTGCATTTATGCCCTCTGTTTGGGGGCAGCTTCCGCAGAGAAGCCATTAGGACTCTTCTTAGGTAGTAATGAGAAAGCTTCCACTGGCTCTCATTCGCACTGACACATAATATGGACTCAGCCTTCCTCACTATAACTCAGTTCTCTGATATGAAAATTAATGGAATCACTTATAATGTTCAGCAGTGCCTAGGAAGTAGGGCCTCTGTGACAAACCTGGGCCATGTGGAGAAAGCAAACCCTAATTAATTCATTTTGTCAATCACAAAGAAAACTGGCCAAAGAAAACTCCTGGCCCAAAATCGTATGGTTTAATTTCTTCGCCTCTATAGGAAGAGTTATTGATCCACAATGAGAGATGGAATAACTACATAAAAGATGGAGTATCGCAGTTAGTTTAGGAAAGCCTCTAACACTTCCTTTTTTGAAAAAAAAAAATTTTGCAAAGCAAAAGAATCACAGAATTATATGACAAATTCCCACTGACTATATAAAAAACGGCAAGGAAAGATATACAGGCAACCCTCTTCAGATGTTTTTCAAGACATAACATTTCTTAACAGTCAAAACTCAGAGGGAAACAGAGAAGTATTCTGGATCTCAAAACGTGAATAATCACGCGAAATGACTTATAAGCAACAATGCCTTAAATGACTTTTGTTGTCATGTTTTAAAAGATCCAAAACAAAATGAAAGCTCATTTTAATACTTTGATGCTTCCATAATGTTGACAGTTATATTTTCACAATTCAAATATATTCTCCAGCAGAGTGCCTTATTCATTTTTTAGTGGAAGGAAATAAAATTCAATATGCATAAATTTAAGGTCTTATGCTTTTTAAAAAACAGGCTTTGAAGTATTTTTTAAACAAGCATCCGTCACATATTTTTGTAATTAAGATAATTTAGAGAAACGAGCAGTCTTTCATAAATTAATGTAAAAGATACTGCATAGTTATATATGGCTCCAATTTCTGAAAGGAGAACCTTAACAGTAGTTATGTCTGAACAGTGGGATAGAGATAGGCATGGTAGAGAAGTAAGACTACTTTTAAAAAGTAGTTTTTTTTGTAGAGATGGGATCTTACCATGTTGTCCAGGCTGGTTTCAAACTCCTGGGCTCAAGCAGTCCTCCTGCCTCAACTTCCCAAAGTCCTGGGATTATAGGCATGAGCCACTGTGCCTGGCCAAACTTTACCTTTTTCACTTTAAGTCCTTGGGTCCTATTCAAATTTATTTTTGTACATATTTTGTATAATTTTAAAAACTACCCCAGTTAGAAATAAGTTAAAAATAATAAATCCATATTATTACACCATCAACCTTTGGTACACATTACGCTGAATGTCACTTAAAGACTTCAGGTTGCCATTTCAGATAACTTTTTTTTTTTTTTTTTTTTTTAACAGTTTGAGTACACTATCACCAGATACCAGCAGATTCTCATCTGGTAGTGGTAGAGGTTAGCCACATTGCAAATGAAGAAATGGAGGCCCAGAGAGACTAAGGGATCTTCCCACACCATGCAGTTTACTGATACTGAAGGCAAGGCTTGCCCTCAGTCGTTTGACGTCTCAATTTATGCTTTTTAAAAATATCATATCATGTTGCTGTCACATGTCCTGCAACACCACTTACGTTTAAGATCTGAATCATACTAACTTACTACAGGTTTTACAAAAACATAACTCCATTAGAATTAAAGCTGAACACTAGAATCAAACCCTTCCCTTACCAAGGGCCATGTAGAGGCTCCGCACAGAGGCAGTGATGGAAGGGTCTTGGACTTGGGACTTTCTACCTGAATCTGACTCCTCTGATTACTAACTGTGTGACTAATTGCATGTAGCCTCTTTATGTCTTCTTTTCTCACCTGTGCTGTGGTGATTAAAAACATCTGCCTACTTGTTGTGAAGGTGAAATGAACTAATTTCTGTCAAGTACATAGCCAGGTGCCTGGTACACAACAAGTGCCCAATAAAAGTCAGCTATTACCCATTTAAATTAATAAACTACATGCAATTTAGAATCTCTCTCATTTCTATTTTAAATCTATTACAAGTATGGTATTTAACCCCCAAATTTGATGAGAAGTGCCCATCTTTGAGAAGATTTACATTTACCACAAGTTAGTAACCTTAGACAAGATATACCTTTCTGTCCCATTCTCCTTAGCAGTAAGGGCTGAGATGCTCAGATTCAAGAAATGTGTGTGAAAACGCTGGAAAATGGCAGTTACCTAAACAAAACGTAGACTTTGTTTTTAGCTTACCCTGAATCACAGCCGGTAGTCAAGAGGCCTTCTCAGTGGTTTTCCCTGAAACTTCCAGATCACCCAAATGACCTTTGACTGTTTCTCCCAGATGTCCGCAAAGAGCATTTGTTCTACCAAGTCCCTCCTGCACCTCCAGTCTTCCCCGCCAGTGTGAAGCCCTTCTCCCCTGCCTGCCCTACAGTAGAGCCCCTCTTTTCTTCTTTCTTTGGTGGAAAGGCGTCTCTTCTCCAGGCTGAAAGCACACACAAAAAACCTGTGACTAATTTCTTTTCAAATCTGAAGGCAGTCTTCCACTATTCTCCTCAGGCAGGGAGAAGTCGTCGAATCCCTGTGACTTCCTTAACAAAAACATTCTTTGAAGGCACAAACAGAATAAGCAATAACTGACAATTTAAACATACCTAGAATACTTTACCACACATATTTCTTGAATGTCTTATAACACCGGCAAAACTTCAAAGAGCATACCAACTCTTGCCTACCGGCTTAAATGGAAATATCTAGGCCCATTGTTGAGGCATTTCCGGGATATTTAAAAATGTTTACTGGAACTGACAACAACCACCTATTGAGAGCGGGCTGCTGTGAATCTCCCGGCCTAGGAGACCTCCTAGCTCGAGGCTGGTACTTCCATAAAAGGACTGACATTTGCCAATGTGGTTTAGCAACAAAGTCAAAAGAACAGCTTTGGATTTTTGAAACCGAAGCATCAAAGATGGGAGGTATGCATTTGCTGTCACCAACAACTGGGTGGAGGAGAAGCTTCCCAGGCAGTTTGTTTGTATTGAGTTAGGCCCATCATGAGGCTACTCAGTGAGCTCCATATCAGGGAAGACCATTCTGAAAGGTGCATGCTTTTTCTGTCCCCCTCAGAGTTCTTTTTCAAACCAAGATGTTTTGAAGAGAAGTAAATTGAGTAAACAGCAGATGGCGTGCTTGAAGTCAGGTTCTAACTTCCCAGCCCCTGCCTGTTGTCTTAAAGACTTTCTCCCTCGTTCCTTGTTGATTCAACTCTTTATTCTTATTGAGTATCTGCTTTTCTATCCAAACGTTAGAGGAAGCAAAGACGGAGCTGAATCAGCAAATTGCCTTGAGACCTTTGAGGAAAGGGAGTTTGTTTCCCCACAAAGTCCAGGGCTTTCCAAGCACCATTACCCCACATATTGGGCTCACTGCTGAGTTCTCTGTCATCCAGGGGTTCTGGCGAACCAGGAACACTGTGTAACGCAGCTCTCAGCGTTTATAAATGTTCACAGGCTGATCACACCGTGTTCACGCATGCAGGGTCTGCAGGTTGGGTTATAGCAGACTTGCTTCCTCTTGACTAAGAACGCTTTTCTCTTCGTCTGACTCTCTATCCCTTCTGCTTCCCCCAATCCCCTCAACCTGATACCAGGAAGCTGGATCATCCACTCAACAGGATCTTTCATTCCTGTTATCTCAGTGATGAACACAGTACCAGGCACATAGCTAATACTGAATGAATCTCCATAAATCAGCAAATGAATGGATAAATGAACTCAGTGCCCACTGCTATCCAAACCACATTAAAAGGCAAGGATTTGCCTGGAGATTTGAGGGCAGAGTCAGGGACAAGTTGCAGGTCAGGATGAATTCAAAATAATTCTATGGAGAGTCGATAGCAGCAGTTTACTTCAGGTTTGCAACACCAGCTTCCACTTTTGTGTCTCCTCTACCCACCCACCAATTCCCAGAGTATACATTGTAACCCTTCATTGAACAAAGTCCCCTTCAGTGAACACAGTAGTCCGTGCTCCCCTAGGACCACTTTCCCAGTCTAGAGAAAGCCTCCTCCACATTATCATGACCTCAGTCTCCTGCCCTCAGTGAGGTCAGGAAAGAAATCCAGTAAATCAGTTCAAGCCATCATGCTAGTACATGACTAGATATAAGCATTTTAGTGAGAGACCTAGAACTAATATCTACCTTCCAAGAACTTAAAACTTACTGACTTCTGGCCCAGCGTAGTGGCTCACGCCTGTAATCCCAGCGCTTTGGGAGGCCGAGACAGGTGGATCACTTGAGGTCAGGAGTTCAAGACCAGCCTGGCCAACATAGTGAAACCCAGTCTCTACTAAAAATACAAAAATTAGCTGGGCGTGGGGGCGTGCACCTGTAATCCCAGCTACTCAGGAGGCTAAGGTAGGAGAATTGCCTGAACCTGGGGGGCGGAGGTTGCAGTGACCCAAGATTGTACCACTATACTCCAGCCTGGGCAACAGAGCAAGACTCTATCTCAAACAACAACCACCTTACTGACTTCTTGATAAAAGCCTATGTAGAAAATTAAAGGTCACTGATTCTCCACAGAAAAATGGTTCCACATAGAAAAAAACTATACTGGACTTGGAGTCAGAAGACTTGAGTATGAATATTGGGTTTGCCTCTTAATGATGGGTTGTCTTAAGCAAAATATGTACTCTCTGGGTCTATAATGCTATCATATGTAAAATGCTCCATGTCTCATATGTTGCTATGTGGACCAAATGTAACAAGGTTTTTAATACTGCTTTGTGAAATCTAATGTAGTGAATGCATGAGTATAGTGAAGCAGTAAAGAAAAAAGACACAAGGAGATTATTCTTTGAGAATCCAGAATTAAGATAGGAGAGGAAATTGGCATCACATTAAATGAGTTTCAGAGAAGACTAGGTTGTGATCTGTAGGGCTAAACACACACTCATAACACCGAAAGTACAGGTGGTCCCTGCTTATAGACCCAGCGTATGCCTAGAGATGTTGGTGATGAAGAAGAAACTGATGGGAATGCCTTTACTAAGTGATAACTATGTATCTGGCATTAATCTGAGCACTGTATGTGTATTATCTTGTTCAACCTGACAATAGCCCTGAGAGGTGTGTAATACCATTATCCCCATTTTACAGATGAGAAAACAAGTTAAAGTCTAGAGAGTTCAAGTCATCATTAAGTGGAATTCCCTCTGAGCGCACACTTTTCAACAGACTGCTGAATGAGAGGATAAAAGCATTAAGGAGGAACAGCCGAGCTTTTATTCCGCAAGACTGAAAGCGTGAATCGGAGAGAGGTGAAGCTCAAGAGCAGGAGGTGGAATGAAGTTACAGACACTGAGAAGAAACCTGTGAGACTCCTAGTGTGAAACACCAAAAGGAAACTCTTGATAATGGAAGACAAAACGCAGCCTGTGTGTAAGGGGAAGGCCAGTAGGAAGCAGGCAGAATGTAATTGTTGGGAAATCAGTGGAGATATACCACGGCATTCTCTCTCCCCACGGCCTGCCCAATGCACCAGGCACACTAATCAGCAACGTTCTCATTCTCGGAGGCAGAACCTGCTGCTGTGACGATCGAGGGCTGGAGTGAAGGCATGCTGATGAAGCTGCTGCCATCCCCACAGCCTCGTGCCACCTCTGAGCATTCAGCGCCATTCCTGTGAGCAGTGACAGGCAGAAGCAGCTAAAGCTAGCTGTTACCACCAGACTGCTAATGAAAACCAGAAAGTCTGCAAACAAAACTGCCGGCTTCTCCAGAATCGAACCAGAATGGTATCAATTTGGAAAAGGAGCCCTTTCCACTGGGCACAGGTTTCCCCCGCGGTGAGTCCCATCAACCAAAATGAGATCTATAAATCCTGACAATGTCTCTGCGATTCTGCATTTTTCTTCGTCTAAATCAATAAATAATTGATTCTGTGTCAATAGAGACCTCTTATATCCCAAACACAGATAAGAGATTTTAGAGATAAGCTACAGATCTTTACAGTTATGAAACAGATTTACAAACCCAGAGTAAAACATAGAAATCTCATAGCATGAAACTTCCAGGTACTGTTGAGAGAGAGACATGAGGGGGCTGGGAGTTGAAGGACGAGGGAAAACCATTTCTGGGGAAAGAGTAAAGGCCTGGTTATTGGTTTGGTTTTGTTTTTTCGGGGAAGGCAACAGAAGCTACTCTTCCTTGACTTGCTTGGAGTAACAGACTTGCAGATGGTGATTTGAGGGCACACTGCAAACAAAATTCCAAGGCTATTTTTTTTAATCAAACATAATTAGCCAATTAAAGCAGACATTTTGGCTAGACATATCCTATTGAAAATAAGCAGAATG